CATTCTGCGCATCATGCAAGGCATGGTTTAAGCCTCACGTGTGCGCTGGGTTGACATTGCTGCAATGAACTACGCTACCAAGTACACAACTAAAATGAAAGCAAAATTTTCCTACTGTGACCAAATCAAGTTTAATGAACCTGTAATTAAACCAGGACCACTAGAATAGCAGCATATCGCTAACACTAACTGTTAATGTCTTCCAGCTGAAAAACTAGCTGTTATCTGTCGAAAATTATACTGAAATCCAACTGTAAACATGTACCTGCAGATGGCGTAGTGCGCACAAAAAACAAGTGCGAGATATGCAAATGTTTTACTTACTGGGGAGGTGACAGGAAAAAATGTAATGCCCACCATAAAACTTTTCAAAAAAGATAAATAACTTTAAAAAACATGTGGTTACCCCTACATTTTATGTTATGAAATGGAAGTGGCAAGCCTATTCAACACGTGCTTAGTTTCTGGTTGTGAGCAAAAGGTATTTAGACTGTATTTAAGCTGAACCAGAGGAAGGCTGTTAGAGACGCCAAAAACGCTGTTGCAACAATTTTGTTATTAAAAACATACCAAACATGGTTTTTATGTTACTATTTACCATGAAGTTTTAAGATCTTTATAAATGTGTTTGCTTTTCTGTATGTAAAGGTGAATTCTAAGGAAATCTGTGAAGAAATATCCTTTCCTTCTTTTTTTGGAAAAATTCTGATGTCCACATTTTTGCTGAGTTTCAAGGCTAATTATTATCTCGTAAAAATGTGTGGCTACCCACATTTTTCTTTGTGGATTCCAATAGCCCTTGCAAAGATCTACTTTTTCCACATGGTACTAACCTGGTGCAAAAACCTTTGTATTTAGTAGGCACCATCTGTAACATCCAAATATACCACACAAAGATGAAGATAAATTACCTCTGAGTTCAAAGATTCAAGAGATGGATCCACTGGTTTCACTTCAATTCAGTATGTGTTGTTGTACACGTGCTAACCGTCCAGAAGCTTGTGCTCCATACAGCAGCTAAAGTTCTTTGTGAATGAAAGTCTTCTAAATTTTGGACACGGCAGAAATAATTGAGCATTCTTTGTCAGCAAAATTTGACTTTTAACCCCAATAAACTGAGTAGTTTTTAGCTACCACTCGAGGATTTGAAACCCACAAAGTTTGTCACAGCAACAATCAAATACACTGCCACCTCTCCTGCCCAACAGAATTTTTTACCACCCAGATTCTGGGTGGTCACCTGACACACAGTTTTTTGGCAAAGTGCATCCTTGGGACGAACTTTGCCAAAAATGTTTAAATAGCTAAAGGACACCTGAAAAGCAAAAAGAACCCCCAACTCTTTGGAACTGAGGGTCCAAAGGACCTGTAACATTCAAAATTAGTGGAAACTCTGCCCAGCGCTTTCATTAGAAGCTGGCTACCTCTGGAGCACCGGTGGCTGTGAGTCATCGAGTCACCCGATACTTGGCTGTGTTTGTCTACAAAAACTTCAAAAATGTAACACTTATAATGTTTAAAGCCTACCTATTTCTCAGTTCAAATAAACTGATAAAATATTTCTTACATTTACCTTGACTGTCCGTGTATATAAAAGTGTACACATCGATCGAATACAATTGCAAATTGCAAAACATTCAGCCATTTTCAGCAGTATCGTAATAAAACTTAACCTTGCTTTCAAACTATTACCATGTGGTCAGTCAAGCAAAGATGGCAGCAAAGCATGCTCCTGTACAGTCTGGACAGACTGATTTGTTTACATTCTTTTCAAAGAAACCACGTACCGGAACAGGTATGTGAATAAATTTATTTGACTTCAGAATTGTTCTTTTATAAACCCATTGTGTTCTTCTTTGCTTACAGATGAATGTTAATTGCAGAAAACGAAGTGCTTCATTCCAGTGATGAAATTTCGCCAGTCAACCCAAACTTATTCTAAAACTACACAGTCTGAATTTGCAGATAAGACCTTGTCATCTTCGCAAATTTTGGAAAGTTGTGAGCCGCACAAAGGGCCATCAATTGAAGAAATTAAGAGTCCCTGTCCATAAAGATGGAAAATAACTTGGCAAGGGTCGAAAATTCGATTTGATTTGATTTTTGTGCAATGTTTAAATGTGTACTGGGTTGATTTTAGGGAATATTGTGTTGTCTTTTTGGGTGCAAAATAATTAAATTTCGAAGACATGTATTTCATTCACTTAAAAGTACTTCGTAAATATAAATAATTTTCACCATGTGCAAAACCTTCAAATGGATTAAGCTTCTGGTGGTTCAATCACAGAAGGATGGTCTACAGATTCCTGTAAAAATTTCTTTGGGCAAATGATTGTGAGCGAGGCAAGAGCTTTTCAAAGTATGTTAAAAATGCAAATATTTGACCATCCGTCGTCAAATTTCAATTTACGGGTTAGAAGTATATTTTAGCATGCGCCACATGACTTGACCTATGTTAAGTTGAAATAGACACAGAGCTGATAATTCGAAAAGTTCTAACCTCATTTGCTGTAAAAGGCAAGTCCAAAGCCGATTTGACATGTTTCTCTCACCATTCATCGCACATAAAGCAGAAGTTTGCTTTTGTTTACATAACGTCCGATGTACATTGCCAACTTATTTAATGGTCGAGTACCATGAATCTGTGACCCTCTTTCGACACATATGATCACTGCTGCATCTAAGTCAAAAACGGTCAAGTCATTTGTAGATAGCTGCTTGCTTTGCACTACACCGAAATATTATGTTTGATCATCATGGTTTGATGGCTTGAACTTGCAGCGGTTCCTTGTTCATCAAGCAATGCTGTCATCCCATTTTAGGGGGTAGGGGTGGGACAATTTCTATCTCAATACATAAGGCTCCATAAAGGTCCGGTAGTACGGGCAACATTTTCCTTCAACTTGTCTCGCAACATTGCTGCATTGCAAGTTGAAACACATTGTTGCGCGTATTACCACGTTTGTGACCAACTTGTCTTGCAGCAAAATACAGTGTTGCAAGTCTGCAGAATTCTACAGGTATAATTGCTTAATCGTGTGTAAATAAAGATGGCACCTGCTTTATATAATTTAGCATTTCGACAAAGTTCCACTTCGACTTCTGGCCATCATTTTCTTCTTAATTTTCCGTGCCAGTGAAGTTCTCTCAGTATGACGCTCAGTGTCGTTTCAGGTAGCTACGCGAAAAGTTGTATTTTTGCGACAGTTCTTCCAAGCTTTTTGCCTTTTTTCCTGCTTGTTTTGAAGGGGCAAATGAGGTGTCCCAAAGACTATGATAGCCCTGAGGTGTAAAGGACAAAGTTGTGACTTTCCGAGAGTTACTTGTCTACTTTGAATTCAGGCTCGCCTTCACCGTTCGCCTTTTGTTTTATTTGCCGTGCTTCGCGACAGCCAATCACAAGCGTGGAATTCAAATTTGTTGCGAGACAAGTTGTAGCTTCAGTGGTAATACGAGCAGCAAAACTAAAATTTGTTGCAGAAAGTAGAACTCGAGTCTACTTTGCG